GGGTTTATGGTTTTGGGTTTAGGGGCTTCGGATTTAGGGGTTCAGGGTTTAGGGTTTAGGGTTCAACAACTCAGGGTTTAGGCGTTTTTTTTTGCCTGTAGGTGTTGCTATAAGGGTTGCCATAAAGATTCTGGGGTTTATGGGGTCTAGTGTTTCGGGGCGGGGACTCCCAGATTCAGGGCTCAGGGCTTCGAGAATTTCGCAGTTTCGGAGTTTGGGTTTAGGGTTTAGGGTTTAGGGTTTAGGGTTTAGGGTTTAGGGTTTAGGGTTTTGTGTTTAGGGTTTAGGGTTGCCTCACGGTGCCTGGACCTCTCAACACTCAAACCCTCTGTACATAAATAGCCCTCATTCAACCCTAAACCTAAACCCCTAAACCCCAAAATGCCTCTACACCCTAAGCCCTAAACTCTATAGCCCCTGAAGCAGAAATGAGTACGACTGGTTAGGGTTTTAGGGATTAGGGTTCGGGTTTTCGGGTTTGGGGGTTTGGGGTCCCTAAACCCTAAACCCGACACCCTAAACCAGGGCTTTATGGCGACGGTTTAGGGTTCTGGGGAGCTTCCTCACACCGGTGCGGCCTAGAGGCAGACCACGCAAGAACGAGCGCCGTAATGTAGGGGCCTTTCATAATTGGAATGGGGCTTGGGATATTTTTTACTACAATCATAATAAGGAACCCCTAAAATATTCTATGGGATATTTTACTACGTACAATCATAATAAGGAACCCCCAAAACCCTATTCTAATAATTGGGGCCCCTACTTGATACATGGAGCCCCCAAGACAGCAAGCCCGAATCCATCGAGCCAAACCCGACGTTAGGGTTTTAGGGTTTAGGGTTTAGGGTTTAGGGTTTAGGGTTTAGGGTTTAGGCAAAGTCGACCCAAGCAAGTGATGCTCTTGCTCAGGCGAAGCAACGCCCCTCGCTTGCATGGTCTTGCTTGGCAACGGCCTGTCATCTTCTTCGACGTCCGTTATCCGTTTCTTGTAGGGTTCAGGGTTCAGGGGTTTAGGGTTTAGGGTTTAGGGTTAGGGTTTCGGGTTTAGGGTTTCGAGTTTAGGGTTTAGGGTTTAGGGTTGCTTCGCGGCTTTGGGTTTGCTATCCCCTTACCCTGGGACCCAAACGGTAAGCCTACATGTCATTTTCCATGAGATGGCCGATGGGAGAACCCTAAACCCTAAGGCCCTAAACCCTATACACCCTACGCCAAGGCATGGGCCACTCCCTAAACCCTAAACCCCTAAACAGCTAAATTCCCCACTCCCTAAACCCCTAAAGCCCTAAACCCTAAACCCTAAACCCTAAACCCTAAACCCCGAAACCCTAAACCCCAAACCCTAAACCCTAAACCCTAAATCGGCGTTGTCTCCTTTTGGACTTCTTGAGGTCTGGTGGGGTCGGCTCGGGGGTCGCCATGAGAGGCTGAGGGGTCTCCGAACCCGGGTCGGGCCAATGCCCAAAGTCCCGAAACCTGACCTCTTAGGGTTTAGGGTTTAGGGTTTAGGGGTTTAGGGTTTAGGGTTTAGGGTTTAGGGTTTAGGGTTTAGGGTTTAGGGTTCTGATTCCTGAAGTGCCACCTTTAATATAGGGGCCTTAATAATCAGAATAGGGTCCTTTATAGTATACTTATAATAAGGAGCCCCCAAGATAATATAGGTAATTATTGAGGCCCCTACATTAGTCTCCATTGCAGTTCCTTCCTGTTCTTGGCTTCCCAATTTATGGTGAGGCTCCTATGATATAGATTTGGTTAACCGAAAACGGAACTACAAATGGAGACGATAGGCAATCCCAAATCCCGTTTCCGAATGCTAAGCCCTCACGTCTGCTTGATGCCAAAGTCTATGTTCCGCTTTTTAAATCGGCGAAATCCCGAACCTGGAACCTTAACCCCTCAACTACAACACTAAAGCCCAGATCCCAACCAGCACACCCGAACCCTACACCTAAACCCTAAACCCAAATAGCCCTACTAAGTACTAAGGAACCCTAAACCCGAAACCCCAATGACCCTACTAAGGAGCCCTAAGCCCTAAACCCCAATCACCCTACTAAGCAACCCCACAACCCCTAAGCCCCAAAACCCTACTAAGGAACCCCACAACCCCTAAACCCTAAACCCTAAACACTAAACCCCAATAACCCTAAACCCTAAAATCCCAGGCCCTCTCCTCATCCGAGCTGCTGGTCTCGGGAGCGGCCCGGCGTGCGCGAACTTAGCCAGGCCACGGGGCTCTGAGAACTTGGGGCTATAAGTTGGGGCTTTAGGGCTTTAGGGTTTATAGGGTTTAGAGTTTCCACCCAAACCTACTTTTTCGTAGGGTCCCTATCAGTTTCATATTTTCAGGGTTGGAAACCAAGGACCCACAAAAAAGTAGGCTTTGGTAGGCGAATGGGGTTTAGGACTTTGGGGCTTAATCAGGAGTAGCATCAGGAGTAGGAGTAGGAATAGCAGTAGGTGGAGAAGCCGGAGATCGTAGTCGAAGTTGTAGCCGTAGTCGTAGCAGTAGCCGTAGCCGTAGCGGTAGCAGTAGCAGTGGCAGGAGGAGCAGCAGGAGGAGGAGTGATAGTAGCATCAGGAGTAATTAGACGTAGTCGTCGTTTTAGTGGAGGTCTAGTAGTTAGTGATAGTGGCAGTAGCAGACGCAGCAGCCATAGCAGTAGCCGTAGCAGGGGCTATTCACTTGCACAAATGAAACTTGTACAGGTACTATGGACAATGATAATCAAAAATCCATGAGAGCTATGCTATGTTATCAGCAACAACGGGTCTAATAAAGACAACACTGGCAATATTGAAGTTCTTCGTAAAGACCTGTCAGGTTGCCACAACGAGCAAGGACTCTGTTTCTCTGCCTATCCTTTTTTACCAGAAATCAAGGCAAGTTTCGTAAGGAGAACCATTGCAACCTTTATCAAGTCCTTCGGAAAACCTCATACAGCCATGTAAACACTCTTTAGAATCTAAGAGCTCCTTCAAATCCTACCCCTGAGCTCTGAAAGACAGAGGCTGCTGGATGTCAACGAACGTGCCCACTGCCCAGAAAATCGGTTTGGCTCAGGATGTTTTGAACCCTAAACCCTAAACCCCTAAACCCTAAACCCTAAACCCTAAACCCTAAATGGTGTTCTGGAGGGGCTTGTAGTTGACCAGCTTTGGCAAGGGTGTATCGGCATTTTTAAGGTATAAGGCTAAAACCCTAAACCCTAAGCCCCTAAACCCTAAACCCTAAACGGTATAAGGGTCCCGGGGCTGTTTGTGGTTTTCAAGCTCGGGGAACTTAGTAAGTATGCCTTGAGCAAGGGTTCAAGCATCTCAAGCAGGGTTACCCGCCTCGAACTAAAACCTACTTACCAAGGCCACTGATCCTACAACGAGGTTTCGAATTCTTACACTACCCTTTTACCCTTTTTTTTTTGTATGGTTCCTCTTTAAACCAGAATATGAGGAAAACGGGCACCCTTATTATTAAGGAGAGTCATTCATGAACCTAGTAGATAGTTGGGTTTTAGTTGTTTGGGGGTTTGCAGACTAGGGTTCAGTTTATCAAAGCGATGTTGGGTTCAGGGATGGGTTCTCTGGGGCATCTGGATTCTGCCAGAAGAACCATATTCAACCCTAAACCCTAAACTCCTAAACCCTGAACCCTACACCCGAAACCAAATGCAGGATCCAGTAAGGACCCCTTAGCTCCCCCGAAACGGCGAGATCCCAGTCCCACAGGATCGTACAGGAACGTTGTAGGTTTACGGGTTTAGGGTTTAGGAACCCCGCCGCCAAAAAAGGCATCAAGAGCTCTAGAACTCAAAAGTTTCAACGCCCGCGGACCCAGGAAATCCAAAAGCTCGTCCCAACTGTAAGCCGAAACCATAAACCTTAAATTTTTACTAAGTTAGGAGCTTGCATAATTAGAACAGGGTTTGGGGCTCAGTCTACTATGATTCTAATAAGGGGGCCGCCACAAAAATAGGATTGGCAATTATTTCGGCCCCTACATTACCCTGATCAACCCTTCAACCCACCTGTAGCGGGAAAGGGGTTTAGGGTTTAGCGTTTAGGGTCCCTTGTGTTGTGGTTTCTATATGTAGGTAACATGGTTTCTTAAAAAGGTAGGTCTTTTTGTAAAGCCTGAACCCTCAACCCCCAAACCCCCAAACCCCTAAACCCAAAACAGGGTTTAGGGGTGATCCCTAAACCCAAACCCCCACACAGCACCCTACCCTATACCCCTAAGCCCTACCTAAACCCCCCAAAGCAGGGAAATTAATGGCCCAAAACCGATAAAAGGCTATTGTTCTACATACTCTTGGGGTCCAGGTAGGCCCAAAAGCGCACCCTAAACCCTAAACCCTGAATCCCTAAACCCCACAAACCCTAAACCCTAAACCCTAAACCCTATACCCGTAAGCCCTAGGCCTAGCCCTAACAGCCCTAGGCCCAAAAGCGCACTGGCCCAAGGTTCGTTTGCCCTCCGAGGTCGGTCCCTTTGGGGCTTTGGAGATTCCCGGAGATGCCCCAAATCAGCGAGTTACTTAAGGTTGGGGTTTAGGGTTTTAGGGTTTGGGGTTTGGGGTTTAGGGTTTAGGGTTTAGGGCAGCGAGTTACGGTTTAGGGCTTGAGGGCTTTGGGGTCTTAGGGCCTTTGAGTTTTCGGGTTTGGGGTTTAGTAAGGTTTCAGGGTTTTAGGGCTTTAGGGTTTTCGGGCTTTAGGGCTTTAAAGCCCTTAGGGTTTGGGGCTTAGGGGGTTTAGGGGGTTTAGGGTTTAGGGTATGAGGGTTTAGCTTAGGCTTCAGGGTGCAGCGGTTTGAGTGTTTTGGGGGTAGGGATTTTTAGGCATCTGAGCTGGAAGTCGGAAAAAAAGTGCACCTGCACACCGCATGAAGCCGAAACCGGTGCTTAAATCCCCAAGCCCCCCAAGCCCAAAACATGCAACCCCAACCCCAAACCCTATAACCCTAAACCCGTAAACCCTAAACCCTAAACCCTAAACCCCACTTTGGGGTTTAAGAGCTGCGACAGACTGTGCATCTGTATGTCTAGACAAGTTTGTGTAGCCAGGCAAACAGAATTTGCTGGAACAGTGCAAATGTTGTTATGTATGTAGATCTCCCATAACTCTCCCAGAGCTCTCCCATCGCTTTCCCAAGACTTTCCCATAGCTCTCCCATAGCTTTCCCATAACGCTTTCCCATAGCTCTCCCATAGCTCTCCCATAGCTTTCCCATAACTCTCCCATAGCTCTCCCATAGCTTTCAAATGGCTCTCCCATTAGCCTCCTGTTACGTGCTAATACTTGAATTCTCTTAAATGGGAAACAAGGGCGAAGGCAGAGGCAGAGACAAGAAGTCCCGCGCTCGTTGAATGCAAGAAACAACGTGTGTAGCAGTGTCTCTCTTTTTCCTTGCATACACACAACACTCCGATAAGCTTGCACAGTCTGTGGACTCACGACCCTTCTATACCACTTCTTTTAGCACACCATTGATCATATTATGGCAGTGGCTTGGAAGCAGTATAACACCAAGGTATACCCCCTATATACGCACCCGGCTTCTCCTCACCTGTTATCTCCTCGCCTCAAAATGGCTTTGATCAAACCCTAAACCCTAAACCCTAAACCCTGAACCCTAAACCCCAAACCCTAAACCCCAAACCCCTACGCTACACTCAGCTTTCGACTCTGCACCAGAAAGCTTAAAACCTCTAAACCCTAAAC